GAGGAAGCCAACCCAGAAATCAAGTTCAAGGAAAAGGTAGTGCAACTGCGGGATGCACACTCTGAATTGAAACCTCTCAAATTGTACCATAAGTTTGGCTCTAACTCTAGTCTGTCTTTCTGTTGTACGAGTTATCCAGCATTTCGATCGATGGTTTCAAAGAAAAGGCTGGAACAGGAAGTAATAATGGTCTTAGTAAACAAAGCAGGTGAGTCTTCTACTTTCTATTCTCCTTCGATTGAAAAACTCTTAAACGAGTATAAAGAATTACTCACTGAACCAACAGGAATAGTTGAGTGTGCAATTAAGCACACCATTGAAATTATTCTTGGTAGTAAGATTCCCAAACGGCCCTATCTACCGAATGTTTGCTAGGGAACTTGAGGAATTAAGGAAACAACTGCAAAACCTTACAGAAAAAGGATGGATTCGCCCTAGCTCCTCTCCTTATGGTGCTCCTGTCTTGTTTGTACCTAGGAAGGAAGGTGAGTTACGTCTCTATATAGACTATAGAGGGTTGAATGTCGTCACTGTTAAGAATGTTAAACCGCTTCCTCGCATTGACGGCTTACTTTACCAGTTACAGGGATGCAGGTACTTTAGCAAGATCGACTTGAAATCTGGGTATCACCAGATCGAGGAGGAACCCTTCGATTTGCATAAGACCGCTTTCCAGACCAGGTATGGCCACTATGAGTTCGTGGTAATGCCTTTCGGATTAACGAATGCCACTGCCACTTTTCAGAGGTCAATGAATTACTTGTTACGTCAATGGTTGGATGACTTTGCCATTGTCTATCTCGATGATATTCTAGTGTACAACAAAACACTAGAGGATCATGAAAAGCACCTTCGTCTGGTGTTAGGGAAGTTGCCTGAGGGCAACTTTAAAATCAACTCAAAGAAGTCTGAGTTTGCTAAGTCCAAAGTGTCATACCTGGGACACATAGTAAACGAAGGTCTAAGTCCGAAAGAGAAAAAAATATCAGCAATTAGAGATTGGCCACAACCTAAGTCTATTACTGAACTGCGATCTTTCCTTGGTCTAGCTAGTTATTATAGGAAGTTTGTCAGAAACTTCTCACTGATTGTTGCACCAATGCGAAGATTGTTAAAGAAAGAAACTATCTGGTTGTTGGATAAGGACTGTGAGCCTTCCCTTCGGAAATTGAAGTATGCACTGACTCACTACCCTGTCCTTAAGATTGCTGACCCGTCTTTGCTTTTCATTGTCGCCACTGACGCAAGTCAGGATGGGATTGGCGCTGTTCTCCAACAAGATGACGGCAAGGGCTATAGGCCCATAAAATTTATGTCCAAACGATTGTCGTCTGACAAAGTCACCAGCTCCACGTATGAAAGAGAACTCTATGCCTTAGTCTGTGCGTTGGACACATGGAGGCACTACCTCTTAGGGAGACACTTCACTGTGTACTCAGACCACTCGACCCGAAAGAGGAAAAATACACAGTCTAGACTCTCTGACAAGTTGGTAAGACGGTCTGCATTCATTGACACCTTTGACTTTGTACTCAAGACTATCAAAGGTAAATCTAATGTAGTTGCAGATGCTTTGTCCCCACGCAGTGATTTCTTTGGCGTAATTGTTTCTTACTTGGATGTCGGGAATGACCTGAAAATTTGAAAAACCAGATTCGCCAAGGATATGCTACTGATCCTATCTCGAAACCAATCATGGATATCCTTGTACGAGATCCATCCCAACTACCCAATTATAGACTGACTGATGGGTTGTTGTTCTTGATTGACCAAACCGAACAAAGATTGTGTATTCCTCATAAGGAAGAGATTAAGAGTCTGTTGATTGGGTAGGTTGCCTCAACAGCTCTGTGGCCACCTGCAACCCCCTCATGTAGAGCACCAATTATCTCCATCTGTCTCTCTTTACCACAGACCACTCTTAGTGGAGGCAGTCCTCCCTTGCCATCCACGAAGAGGAGACCTCGCTTTAGTCTGAACTTTTTCCTTGGACCATGGATGGTCACTTCAGCAGCTGGCGACGACCCCACGGGTCCATCTTTCATCATTGAGATCCCCCCGCATTTGACGGTCCACCCGATCTTTCACGCTTCAAAGCTGGCGGTTTACACTCCAGCCTCCGCAGTGGATTTCCCGGGCAGACGGTCACAAGACCCTCCTTCAATGGATGGTCATCAGGAGGTCGACCGCGTCCTCACGCATTGCAAGCATGGCAACAAGCCTATGCAGTACAAAGTTACATTTAAGCAATTCGATCCGAATGACACACGCTGGATTTCAAGAGCTGACCTGAAGGCGACAACACCCCTCATCTTCGCGCATTACGAAAAACAGCGACTTGCCCGCCCTGTACGGACATCGGACAGACAGCTTCGCCCTCGCAGTTAGCTCGGTCTTCAAGGGGGGGAGTGTGTGGCATTCTGAGCCACACGGGCCCCAATTAGGGCCCAGTTCCAAACAGGCAGGGTAGGCCTAAGGCACGACGGTTCAGATGAGGCCCAGATGGGCCTGGACCACGGCGGTTCAGGCAGGCCCAGGCCAAACGGCCACAAGGCCGGTACCGGTCCAGCCTAGGACCTACCGACAACGTTTCAGAGGCTGCCACAGTTTAGGGGCCAACCAGTTTTAAAATTGGACCGTTGATCTGGATCAACGGTCCAGGCCGGTAGGTACCAGCGGGTAGGAGGCAGGCCCAGCACTACAAAAGGCTGGGTACCAGCCTTAGTAGGGAGGTTAGTAAGGCTAGAAGTTAGTCTTCAGGATTGGCGCATCGGCTTCAGCGTTAGCTCATTTAGCGCAGCGCTGCAGCACAACACGGAGCAGCGAGAGCGAAGAGGCCAGCGGCGAGCAGATTAGCGCAGCACTTGGGCGCAGCACCGGTTACCGGCCCAGCCCCTTGCAGCGCCATAGCGACGGTACCAGGTATCAGGGAGGAAGGCTTCGCCTTCTCTCCCTCTTCCCCTCCATCGCTCCTCTCTCCTCTCGCTCTCTCTCTCTCTCTCTCCTCCTACCTTCTCAGTCACAATCTACTTCTGGGTTCTCCTACGGGACTACTGTGTGAAGGATGGTTACGAACTTTGATAACATTTGGAACAGCGACATTGGGACTACGAGTTGAGGACTATTTGGGGGTCTGATTTCATCTTCCTTCCGGAGATGTACTTGACATTGTGAGATCGATATCTAGGATATTGTGAGACTTGGCATTCGCGACATTTCAGATTTTCGTCACTCCTGACAATTCAAGATACTATCTTTGGAAACATTGAGTTGACGTCATCTTCCCTCTCCTCCTCCTTTGTCTCTCTCCTCTCCCCCTTCGTCCGTGGATGATCTCAGCCCCTGCCGCTTCGTCTATGTCGGAGGCCAGGGCATTCACACCCCTGATGAATGTTTGAGAGTGTTCGATTGCAGTCCGAGTCAGGTCCGAGGCAGTCCAAGGTATCTCAAGTCTTCCGCTTGCATTTGTATCAACTCTGTATTATCTGGTCGGTTCTGGGAATCTGCGCCATACTTATGACTGTGTTTCACGAGTATGCAACATGTGCGAATGCAGCAAACAGCCCAAGTTCGGAGACTCAGGCCGTGCCCAACCGTAAAGGGCCCACACCCTCAACTGTAGTCTCTGGCCTGGGCGCAGGAACAGGGGCCCAACAGGAAGCTACTGGACGCTTCCAGCCAGGCCACACGCAGCATCCAGGAGGCTGCCACTTCCATATAGGAACAGAGGCAGCCCTGGCCAGGTATTCTGGCCCGCACAGGCAATGCGGTCAGGCTGCTGCGCTGCTCCATTGGATGCTGCGTTGCAGCCAGTGCGCTTGCAGGGCGCGTTGAGGTGAAGTGGGGCACTGCAGGGCAGCGGTGCGCACGCAGCCATAGCCGGGCCGCTGGGCGCTAGGGGGTAAGAGGGCGATGTGGTGGTCTTCAGGGAATGAGGAGAGTGTGTGGGTTATCAAAGTCTGATGAGGGTGACAAGATACGTACGTGGTGCATGAAGAGAGGTCGGCTATGGTGTTGACATCATGTACATTGGTCTTCGAGAGTCGAAGTGAGCCTGTTGCGTGAACACAGCTGTAGGTAGGATAGTCGAGTAGGGTAGGCTAGGTGCTGGGCACCAGACAGAGAGGAGCGACTTTAAATATTCTGTTGGTGTGGCCTGAGGGCTTGAACATTGGCTCATTACTTCATTGTCTTGCTCTATTTGGATGGATTCTCGGTGCAATTGTGCTCTCTGCTTGTACACGACTACTTGGACAACTGTGTGATTTCGCAAATAGGTTTTCTGTACATCGTTCACACTCATATTCCTTGCAGTACTCTGAGCACGAGCAGCACACAATGGTTGCCCAGCTTCTTTTTTTAGAGGACAGGGGCTAGACTCCCTGCTCTCCCGAAGCTTGAGCTGCATAGAAAGGGCTAGAACATGAAAAAAACGGAGGCTGGCCTTAGGCACTAGTTTGGGGAAGGAAGGGGATTCAACCAGCGACTGTGGGTCAGATGACGGACTTAGTGCGGGGATTCAACCGGCAACTGTGAGTCCCTGCCTCCAACCGCGCATATTCCTTTTACGTGGATTTAGGCACCAGAGTAGTCTTACCTTCTTCCTTCACCCCCTAGCTGTCTCATCTGCACAGTCTCCTGATCCATCAGTTTTTTTCATAGGCAAGCTCTCCTGACCTGTGTGTGTGTGTGTGTGTGTGTGTGTGTGTGTGTGTGTGTGTGTGTGTGTGTGTGTGAGAGAGAGAGAGAGAGAGAGAGAGAGAGAGAGAGAGAGAGAGAGAGAGAGAGAGAGAGAGAGAGAGAGAGAGAGAGAGAGAGAGAGAGAGAGAGAGAGAGAATCATAGTGCTAGTATGGCTGTCTACGCTGTGCAAATCACCCGCGCCTCAGACAACAGATGCAACAGCAAAGCAATATTTCACACAACTAGATTGTGGATGTGGGAAAGCACACAGCCAGCTTTATCACAAGAAGAAAAGTATAGAATTTAGAATCAACCAACCATATCAAAGCGCCCAGGCCGTAGGAGAGCGCTGTCAATAATCTGAGGCCTGCTCGTGGCACCAAGGACAAGCACACCGTGCGCCAGCTCTAATCCATCCATTTCCGTCAGCAAGGTTGACAAAAGCCGCTCGCTAGCTGAGAGCCCCCCACCTCCTCCTCCCCCTCCTCCACCTCTGCCACTGCTTGCTCCATCACCTTGTGCTCTGGAGAGACAATTGCCAATGTAGCTTCTGTCAGCGTCCAGCAATCTCATAACAAACACAAACAGAATCCTCTTCCCTCGGAAAATAGGAGAATGCTTGACATCCGTATACTGTACGTCTGGCATACAACAAACGATGGCCGGGGGTCAGCAGAGGACTCCCCATGTGGCAAATTTCACCTGACCACTTGCCCAGCCAAGGCACAGTCACAAGAAAGGACACACAAAGGGAGATAGAGATTCTCCAAAAGAACAGTATTCTGCATCCTCTCTCTCTCTCTCTCTCTCTCTCTCTTTCTCTCTCTCCATGCTGTCAAGTGTGTGAATTCTGTCCCCATGCAGGTCTTCCAGCTTGAGCAACCTGTGCCTTCAGCTTTTTCTTCTTTTTTTCCTTCCCCTTCTTTTCTATACGGCTGTGTAGGTTGAGGGCCGGATAAGGTACCTCTAAACAGAGTCCACCAGGGAGTAGACTGGTCATCCTAACTTCTGAACTCATTCTGCACACCTCCTTACTCACTTTGCGGTCCTCTCAATGCTCTTCTCGCTAGGTTCTGTCTCTGAAGGATGTCAGCTTCGTCAGGCTTTTTCAACTAATGCTTTTTCACCTACGACTTTTTCGCTTCCAGCTTTTTCACTTGCACGTTCACACCTCATCTGGGGAAATAAGAGCAAAAACAAGCAACTACCGTCCAGAGGGCATATGATTTCTTGATGACAACGTATTCTGCATACGAGTGAGGCAGACATAAGAAATGAGCTCAGTTGGTACACCCATGAACTGTTGAAATACAGACCCGAGTTTGAGTCCAGATCAGAGGTCGCCAAACAAAATTTTCCTCCCACCCAAATCCTACCCAATCCAAGCCTTGATATATCATGTGTACCCGCACCCAGTGCCACCCACGTCATTTTTTTTTCCTTCACACAGACCCACCCCACCCGAGCTAATTAATTTCTTTTTGTAAGCGTGTCCAGTTCACCCAGCATCTGCAATAGAATCCTTTCTCCGACCCAGCCACACCCAGGCCTAAATTTTCTCCACCCGCATCCGCCTGCACCCACGACCAATCTTCATCCACCCATGCCCAACCATACTCATGCCCAACCGTACTCATGCCCAAAGTTTACCACCCACCCCGAAAATGACAAGCATATCAAACATTTGAACGGGTTGCAAAGGTGGCTGAGCGAACTCTTTTTTCCCCTTCAAAAAGGCCAAGTG